AATGTAGAACATGATATAGTTCTCACATGTCTGCCAACTTGAACAACGTGGAAGGTGAACATCCAGCCGCCGGCAGTACAACTGTAAGAGTTTCCGGCTGCGAAAGCAAGCGCATCCCACACGAGACAGCTGCAACCCCAGTAGGAGGTAGTACACTCGCAACGAGGGGCGACCTGCATCTGGTAAGGGAGGTGTAGCTGCTGCACAGTTGCTACTGCGTATTTTCTGCGCCGTCGTGAACAGATGGAATTAGCGCGATTTGTTGTTGCTGCGCAGTCTGCTGGAGGAGCACCGGCATAGCGAAGCAGGCGCACGAAACCGACCATATGAACTCCCAAAGTAGTACGCCGCTCCGCCAATGGCGCCCATGGCCGCTCTCTGGTGGGGCAGACGTTACACATCACCGCATGCAAGTCCCCTATAAAGTCTTCATGCGGTGAAAGTCACCGTCAGCAGTAGCTCTGCTGAATTTTAAACGACTGCAGGGCGACGTGGTATGTCAGAGATGACAAAAAGAACGTTATGCAGGCTTTGCATAAAGATAATAGGCCAGACTAAATTCCCCCCAGTCTAAACGCACCGCGCTTCCCGTTTTTGGCGCAGGAGCACCGTTAGCTGTCTCTGGGGCTCCTTTGGACCTTCCCGAATAAGCCGGGTTTGCGCCATCATTATGTGGAGACTTGCCTCTACCATCTGGCTGCGGCGAACCACAACGGCAAAGTGTAGACGGTACTGTGCTGCTGCCTTCAACCAGGATTACCAGTCTTTCATTCGGCGAAGTTCTGCTAAGTCTACCGTACATACGCAACGTACCTCACAAGACCTGTCCCGTTCAGCAAGGTGGCGGCCCGCCGCCGAAGCTACGGAATGCTTAAGAGAAACGAAACACCGGAAGAGCAAGAATGCGACTGCAGCAATAGCAGCAGCAGCGGCGACCCCTGCTAGAATGCCCAATAAAGATGTTCTGCGAGGGCCTCTATAGATCATGGAGCCAGCAGCGGAGGAGTTTCCATAAGCGTCGTGTTTAAATGACGCTGCTGTTGATCCTGTGCTTGGAGAAGAGTGGCCCTCGTCCCCTAGGACGGCAGCAACGCCATGAGCCCCCCATCCCCACAGTCCCACAGAACAAAGCGAATAAGCAACTCCGAGTAAGAAAAAATTAAGAAGGACCCAAAATTGCCTCATGCTTTCTGATCCCGCAATATCCGTTGGGAAACCCCACCGGCAACGACAAAGCCAGCATGAAAGTCGATAGCGGGCCGTCGAATTCTGCAATGAGTAGTAAGGGGAGACTCAGTAGGTTGAAGTTAGCGTAAAGATGATAAAAGAACATGTACACAGGAAAGAACAATATGGAGCCCGGTTGATATGCGGCTAGGGAGCGACAATGGGGTCGACCTGTTCCGCAGATCCCAGTCCCAGCGTAGGCAACGTCACCTTCCTTGGACATTAACCATCATACTATAAAATTCCCCGGGGGAAAAGCCCCAATTTTGGATGTAAAAGTGGCCCACTAGTACTTGAAGGTTTGCCTGGTCTGGGTTGAACTCCAGGGCCTTGGCAGCTGCCATGGACAAACTTGACTAGCGATGAGACCCAGCACAAGGCTCAGCCCCGTGAACGCCGCATCGCTCATCCAGGCACCATTCGACGGCAATGAACTGATCCCCGCAACGTCTTCAAATTCTCTAATAAGAAATTTTTTTTGCAAGGTTCGAGACTTCTAGTTCAGCATCCCGGCTTTCACGTAAGCGCCGCATGATCAGACATTCTAGTCGTTCGCTGGGACTCCGTCGGGGCTACTGCCTTATCGCTTGCGGGCGCAGTCCCGTCAAGAGAAATTCTTGGGTGGACGCAACATGATTGATGTTCTTTCAATGAGAGTGCTCTTCATGGTACGGCTGCATGCTAGGTTGACTTGGTGAAGACATGAACTTCGTAGCCGGAGAACCGTGTCGTGTCTAAAGTTGGTCCATGTATTTCTACTTGCGTATAGGCTACGCACTGATGTCAAAGAGGGCTTTTAAGGTTTTCTAACGCGTTGTTGCATGCAAATAGGGGGGCTTGGTGGCGTTTGCATCTATATTTGCCTTGCAGCCGGAGTTTCGAGAAGAGACCTCTATATTTTCCGGGGAACCTCGTGAGCTGCAACAGAGTAGGATAGGAAGGTAATTAGGTCGGTAGGTAGATTGGTATCATAAATGTTTCCAAATAGGCAGCTGATAGCCCCTCCTGTCTGTAGGCATCCTGGTAAAGGCGGGCCAGGGGCGTGGGGCTGGTGTGGAGACGAAATGGCTTACCGTGAGCCCCAGTGAGCCTTGCTAAACTAGGCAACCGCGCACACAAGCACAGCCAAGCCCCTTTTGTTTCATACACTAGCACAGAAGAAAATGTGTACTTGGCCGTCAGTAGGCAGCCTGCATGCAATTAGGCATGCAGCTTCCAGCCTCAGAACGAACATCCTGCAACTGTCCCCCGTTTCTCCCCCAAGAAAAACATACCGTCATGTGTCTGGTTTTCGAGGAAAAGATGGATTTGCCGAGAGGAAAGCGGCCGCCTAACGTGGCGCTGCTGCGGGGACACACCGGTCCCTCCTTCTACTTCATTTTTCTGCTGCAACTGTGCTGCTGCGCATTTTGCCGTTGCGTCGCTTGCTGCTGCACGTCAACGCGAACGCAGGCGTATGCGCAGCCCAGACACGATGGAAACGTTGGAGAATGTTGCATTAAAGCCCGCATACATGTTTAGGAGCTTTTTTCGTTAATATCCCCTGACAGCTGTTTCTGTGCTGCTGCGTTCATTGAGTTGTTGGTCTTTCGCTTGCTTCGGTGGTGGCCGCGTTTGGCTTGCTTGCGCAACGGCTGGAATGCCCTCAAAGCAGTCCCAGTAGAGGAAGCAAGCTTGCGCTTTGCTGCTGCCAGTCTCTTGTTGGAGGAAATATGTCGCCCCCTAGTGACAATTCTTCCTGTTGTATGCCTGGAGCTGACGAAGATACAGCTCTGCTGCGTTTCCCTCAACTGCTGTTGCAAGCGCTACTAGCAGCAATAGCTGGAGGGCAATAGTTGCCCGGCGTCACACAACCCTGCTGCCACTTCGAATGCACCCATCTTTCGAACACACCACAACGAAGGGTGCTGCTCCGACATTTGCAATAGCACATACCCAGCAGCTCGTCCAGCTGCAGATTCCGCTACACTTGCTACTGATTGTGGTGATGCTGCTGCTGCCGTTATCTCTGCGGTCGCCGCCTCTGGTTGCGGTTCAGCACTGTCTCCACTCCGCAGCAGAAGGCAACTGTCACGGCGCTAACAAAAGCCTCTGAACAAAAATGTAAGTAAAAACAACGTCGACATTTGGGGTGGAGCGCAATGCACGCCTGCTAAGGAGCAGCTGGCCTCAGAGGTTCAGGGCACAGCTGCCCAAGGGTCTGAGGCTGGGGTAGAGGAAACGGCCTGATATCAGTTGTAACGTACCTCGTTGCAGCTAATGCTGCAGGGTACCTTCATCTGCTAGCAGAGGCAATCGCGCCCACCCGTCCAGCCCCAGACAAATGCGGTTTGGAATAGCCCACCGTGGAGAATTACTGTGCTTCTGCTTGCGTGCAGGCTGCCTACTACGGGCAAGTAAGTGTTCATGCAACAACTTCGGAAGTTCGGGCGCAGCATGCTACAGCATCTGTTCCAGCAAGGAATGTTGCACCACGTCGCCTACCTTGTCCTCCATTCCAGGCGTAGGCACTTGTGTAGTTGACCTAAGGACGTCTGGGGACTGTGAAGGGGTCTCCGTCGCTTATGCAAACTATTATCATGGGTATTCTTACTTTGTTGCAGCTCACGGTGGTCGTCAGCTAAGGTCCACGTCTCTCGTGCCAGCTGCAGTTGGGCGCAGTAGCAAAGTAATTTATCGCCTACACAGCGTTAATTTTCTTTGTACGGCTTTAGAAGCACTTGACGCACAACAGGCATCTTAAGTAAATGCTGTGTGCATTCTACGACACTAGGTAATGGAAGAAATGATTAAGAATGCCGCCTCCGTGCGACGGTCCACTAGGTGTATTGGGCTGCTCAGTGACAATAGAGTAAAGTAGATGCAACAATGGTCATATCAGACTCAGTACACAATTGCTTCTGATAAAAGGGATATTTCTGTGATGCAGCCAGCCTGTTTTGGAGGAATTGTTTACTCTTTGTAGGGCCGTCTTACCGCTGACCTGCCGGGGCTTCCGGGACTGGACGGAACCTGTGCCGCGTAGTTACGCTGAAGTGTTGTTATTTCCCCATTATATAATTTCATTTATTGTGATTAATTATTGTCGTTGGGGTGAAGGAATTTCCGGCGAACCCTGTCCCTCGAAGCGTGTGGGCTCTGCTGCTTAACGGGCAACATGGCGCTAGCCGGGAACACAATCCTGTCTTTCTGCAGGACTTCGAGGGTACACATGCCGAATGTATAAAAGCAAATGAGTGTTTTAATACCCTCCAGTAGTCTTTCATCTGGCTAGTCTTAATCAGTTGCTCACTGGATGCTGGGTCCTACCAACTACTCGGGCAGTTACCTGCAGACCAAAATAAAAACGTTCAGATTAAGACAGGTGTTCAGCGGGTGTCGTGAAATGGCATTTCCATGTTCCTCTGTTAGAGTGTTGCGCACTTCTGGAACATCCCCCCACTATCACATCTTTTGCTTGCCGTTCCCGCTGAGAGAGGGGGTTTTGCTTGGTAGCGTGTCTTCCTTTCGCATGAGAACTCCAGGTTGTTCTGCCTTCTCTCCAAAAATCAGATATGGTTATTTGGTTGGAGAGAGCCGGCGCTGGGAGGGGAGGGGAGAGGCTTCTTGGGTGTGCTATACTTTGTTTTCAGCGCTTCTCGTCCACTGCCCGCGTTTTCGTGGATCGAAATACAAAGGTCATTTGCCAGGGTTTGACTGGCCATCAGGTGATTTTGTTGCAAGACAATTCAGTTTCTCTAGTGCTCTCTTCTGTTGCGACATTCTTTTTGTGAATGCACTTCTTGAGTCTCAGGGCCAACAAAACCTTACGCACGTCAGATGTATTTCTGCATTTCTGTGGAGCTATCCCTTCCTTGCAGGGGAGTTTTCACAGCGAACAGGCACTGATATATGGTACGCAGCTCGTGGGTGGAGTCAATCCAGCGAAGGGAGGCACCACATGGACCAGCTCAGTCGGGCAGTATAAACTCCCTGTCTTCAAATCCGTCAAAGAGGTATATGCGCCCACAAATTGCCATTTTTTACGTGTTTCGCACTAAAGGTTGGCCTTTCTGTTGCAAATCCATTTGATTCCTCCCCTTATCCCCTGCGCCCTTCCTTCCCCAACCCCCAGCAGCTGTTGCTGTTGCGCACAAAACTAATACGCGTCAGGCTAAAGAAGCAACGGGTTGCCACGCCTCAGCGATCTTCGTCCCTCCTGCCCACGCTGCCGCGGCAATTCTGGAGTGCGTAGAGGCCGAGCTGGACTTGGCAGTTTGTATTACTGAGGGCATTCCTCAACATGACATGGCAATGGTCAAAAGGCGCCTACGTGAACAGACAAAGACCCGCCTCATCGGCCCAAACTGCCCAGGAATCATCAATCCGGGAGAGTGCAAGATCGGCATCATGCCTGGCTACATACACAAGAAGGGATGCATAGGTGACACCCTTGACTGAATCACGTTGAATCATTTCAATCGAAGAACGAAGCAATGCAAATGAAATATGGGATGAATTCGGTCAATTGCGTTTCAAGGAAAATAAAAAATGGAATAAATGCGAGCAAGTGAGAGTTCCGTTGCTTCGGTGGTGAATTTTGTGCTGTTCTCTTGTTGCAACAGGCGTCGTCAGCAGAAGTGGAACTCTGACCTACGAGGCCGTCAACCAGACGACCCAGGTCGGTTTAGGCCAGTCGACTTGTGTAGGAATTGGCGGCGATCCTTTTAATGGCACGAGTTTCATCGACTGTCTCGAGAGATTCGTTGCAGACCCGGAGACAAGAGGCAGGTCAACACTTGCGGCGCACGGGTTTTGCTTTGATCTTAACTGAAATCCCGTTGGCCCTGCACAAGATAAGCGGCCTGCGGGGACATAACTATCTTGCGGACATATCTGTGCGTGTACGCGTGAGAAGGCTTTGCCTTCACGAGCATTCATCTAGCCTGCAGGAGAAGTAGAGGAAAGGCAAACTGTATTGTGGTCCTCAGGCATCGTCCTGATCGGCGAAATTGGCGGTTCAGCAGAAGAAGAAGCGGCCGAGTGGCTGAAGAGTGAGTCAGAGAAGCACACCATGCAATACGCAACTGCTGTTCAATTGAAAATAGCGTGCAAACGCATATCTGCCAATACGGGCGCAGTTTACACCTTCTACAGTTGGTCGGGCAATAAATGCGGGGAGTTGTGTAAAATTTGCCGGCTTTTAGCGTTCTCCTTGCGGCGTCGGACTTTTGAAACAGACGGGTAGCTGCATTTATATTCTTCGTCCTTGGTGATGCGTTGCGACGACGCAGAGCACAACTGCGGAAAGCCGGTGGTTTCGTTCATTGCCGGTGGCAGTGCGCCTCCTGGCCGCCGCATGGGTCACGCGGGAGCCATCGTAAGCGGCAACACGGGAACTGCAGCGGGCAAGGTGAAGGCTTTGCAGGCCGCGGGAGTGGTGGTCGTGAACAACCCTGCTCGCATTGGAGAGGCCATGTACGCAGCCATGAAAGAAAAGGGGCTTGTGTGAGGGTTCTCCGCTAAATAGCTGCTCTCCTTAGTACTGCGTTGCTGCGTAGCAGTACTACAGTTTGTTTCAAATGATGTCCGTATTACCCTACCTTGCGCTGTTGTAGCGAGTGGATGCCAGGTGCAGACGGTACACAGACGCGTCTCACTGCAAGCCACTGCGTATGCTGGTATCACGCATGCATACCGCAGGCATGCAGTTGATGCCTGCGGGTTCTCCCGCCCAGGCCTTTGCCGATTTCCCCTTGTGGAACCCTCTCCATATTTTTCTGCGTTCGTAGAGGCCCCAACTACAACAGGAAATCAGACAATGCGATGTAGAGACAGAAACGTGCGTTTCCGTAGCAGGCAATGCAAACAAAGCCCTTCGTCTGTGTAATAGAACGCTGTTGACGCGAAACTGACTCCTTCACCAGTTGAATACAGCACATGTGGCATCAATATAGGCAAACACACCCCTTCTGTTTCAAAGGATGCATATAGGATCAAAAGCAAAGAAAGCCCCTTTCCTGTCTAATATGCTACAGTAGAGACGTCTGCGCTGCATGCACCCAGCATTTGAACCACCTGACCAGACATCATTTCCCTACAGGTACCTCCAAATGAAGCAAGGCCTCAAGTCACCCCACATGCGTCCTGCCCACAGCTAACTGAGGGGTGGTCGGTCCTCTGTACTATAAACCATGAGAGCCCCTACCTACTTTAATTGTTTGTTTGGGACGGGGCATTTACATGCGCTTCCGGTGACAAGGAAAAGAAGGTTCACAGGTGAAGTTCGTGTTACGTCAGAAGCGTAGAGAGCCTGCCTTCAGCAGCACTGCCCCTGAAGGCGAGAAACAAACCCGTAGGTTTCTGCTCCCTTGGGTCGCCAATGCTGACTGCCTGTCTTAGCAGCGGGGTGCCGAAACAAGTTTATTCAGGTATTTGCTTTGAGGAGAAGCGAATTAAGACAATACATAACTGCTAACAACTGGCACATACTCTTGACCCTTTTACTGTTTGAGTCTGCACAACGCACTGAAGGCCGTCGTCTCTGGGGCCAGACCCATCTGGCCTATTGCTTTTCGATGTACTTCTTGCTGCGCCACAGCAGCAGCATTCGCTGCTGGTGCTGCAGGAGCTCAAGGACAGACCCCGTTATCAGGAGCTGCAACTGCTGCTGCTGCTGCTAGGGGGTACGGGCGAGGCGGGGTCCTGGGTCTCTTCATCGATGTCGCACAGAGGCTTTATCTCCTGCTTTTGCTGAATCTGCTTGTCCTGCTCCCGCAGCTCGTCCTCAGAGTAGACAAGCAGATGGACGATTCCTTCCGCCTTGTCTCTGTTTCAACAGGCAGCAGCAAACAAGCAAAACAAACAACGGAAATAGTGCGGCCGTTCCTTGCAGGAAGTGATTGTGTCGTTGTAGCAGGCAAATGACAGAAACCAGCAGGCCCAGGACACACAGAGATTGCGCATAAGTGCATGCATACATACAATATGGAGCTGCTACTGCAATTTGACACCCTCGTACGAATAAACCCTAAACCCCCATGAAGATCCGTGAGCACCTGATGTTCTCCTCCGTTTCGATGCAGAAAACAGCGCGCAGTACTTCGTACACCCCAAACCAGCGCAAAGTTTCCCTGTGCACTCGCAGGAGAAGAAGAAGCAAAGACGGCTGAAGGGTTTAGGATTTAAGATGAAGCTGGCTGAGCCCAAACCCTACACACTGCAAGCAACACCCTCAGCAGCAGTAGACGGCTTGGAGGCGAGTTCTTGTTTTAGGGTTAAGGGCAAACCCTAAACCAAAAACCATAAGCAAACCGCATGCGACTGTGGGTTCATGACTGCAAAAGAAACCCTTCGTACTAAACCGCAACCTAAGCCCTAGACCCTAAACCCCAGACATCCGATATATCTATGTTTTTAAGGCAGCAGCAAGAACTGCGTGCCTCCTGCTTGTCAGTTGCTTGCCCCCCGCTGCGCTTGTTTTAGGCATTGTCTCCTTGATTGCACTGGGAACAGGCCCAGCAGGAGCAGGGGCAGAGAAGAGGAAGAGCAAACCAACACT